CCCCCCTCCCCGCCCCGCTCCCCAGCAACTCCCGATACACAGAAAACGCACCTCATCAGACATGTTGCGAACAAGCTCTCGGAATTGCGGCAAGAAGGCGTCGATGCGCGAGCAGATCTCATCGGGACCGAGGGTCTTGGACAGGGCGTGCACGGAGAACCCGAGCTGCCTCGCCCCCCTGCCGTAGTTGTGGACCCCGCTGGACACGATGTACCTACTCGACCCAGGCGGCGATCACCACAAGATTATTAGGAAATAAATCAATAACACATACATAAATCAAATAAATACTGCCCGTTCGAGATATAACAATACAATAGCCGGAGGGGATGGGTTCAAGTATTTTCATGTTCACGTTGGGCGCATGGATCACGATAAGATGGAACTGATAGGCGCATGGAAACAAAATAGGGCGTCCTACGGTGCTTGTTACGCAACAAATTCTAGGGCTCGCTCATCCGCCATGTACCGTGCCGGCACTGGGCAGGGTACGGGAATAGTATTGTAGAGGAGGCTCCGTGAGTGCGCGCCGGGGGGGGAGACGCCGGGGAGGGGGCACTGAAACCGAAAACGGAAACACAAAGGCTGCAGGGTATAAAATATACCTCCACCGCTCAACCACCGTTCCAAAACAAGAAGACAAGAGAACGGAAACAACGGCAGAAACGGCGGCAAGAACATTCGCATCGTCAGGCATTCATCTCCGTACGCCATCACGCGGTGCCTTGCGACGAATACAAGCGTACGGCCTCGGCTCAAGCAGGACGAAGCATGTGATGCATCCATGAAGAGTACGATCAACTTCCCGAAAAACAAATACACAATCGTATCTACCGTTGTCCCAGGAGCAACGCGTTAAGCTAGCTAGACGAAGGAAGAAGGCAGAGAGAGAGAGAGAGAGAGAAAGAGAGAGAGAGAGAGAGAGAGAGAGAGAGAGAGAGAGAGAGACCCACCCGATTTGTTGCTTGGTCCGCAGCTCCGTGTAGCACGGTTCCCGCATCATCTGACTCAGCAGGAGTAACGTGGCGGCCCTTCTTTCGTCGCGCTCTCCAAGCTGTTCGTGACAATCCATATAGTCGGACCACACACGCACATTGATGCGCACGGGCGACAGCCAGCAAACGCTGATTACGGCGGCTGTGTTCCCAACGAAATCACGACCACAAACTGTGCCAGCACATTCATTTATTGCTCTATTTTTTCTTTTTCGGATTGTAGACGAGCGCGCACACATGGGACGCGACGACAAGAAGGAATGGACAAAACCCGGCGACAGTGGAGCCAAAAAAAAACGCCGTTGGACGTTAAGGTCCAGGACCCCCACTAATCTACCCGAAAAAAACAGATACCTGCCTTTGATGGACCAATCGTGGACCAATCGGGGTGATGATGAACCCATCGGGATGACTATTGACGGGATGATAATGGACCCATCGGAACGATGATGGACCACCAAAGGCGCACCAAGACGGACATCACCTTCGTGGAAAAAAGAAAAAAAAACACACACATACGCACCTGGAAGTAAGCAATTGCTGACGAGTTCTCATCGTGTCTGTTCGGGACGTCCAGCCGGAGGTTGACCCGCTTGCCTCTAGGCAGGACGCCTGTGAGCGAGCGGGGGTACTCGTCCTCAGGGAGAGGGCGGCAACCCGAAGCGTCCAGCCTTTCCGTCATCTGTGTGATGAGCGATGAAGGGGGTGGGTGGATCGGGGGAGAAACAAGATGGTCGGAGTGTGTTTCGTCGACAAAGGCTACTACGCTTCAATTGGGGGACCCGTATGCTTTTCGTTGTTCTTCCCTCCCCCTGCCGAATACCTCACGGCGCTTCGCGCTTGGTGATCTGCTATTAGCCTGGTCCGGTGACAACCCGGCGTGCTCCATCCCGGCTTGGCAGGAATGCGAGGTAAACAGTCTAACGACCACGGCATGCACGGCAATGAGAACACCCCTCTCCGGGCAAAAAGGAGGTACGATGTAGGGTATCGAATTGTCTAACCATTTACAACGCATGCAAAGAGTACCCGCCCCAGCCCCCGTCTCTCCCTCACCGTCTTCCAGATCCTTCTGGCGTCATCTTGAGAAGTGTTTCCGTACACGAGCCCTACGGGAAGCACCTTGGCCAGAGCCTCCTTATGCTGCGACAGGCATTCCTCCAGGTTGGTGGCTTCGGCCGCCTTGATGTGTCCAGGGTCGGGGACGAGGTCGTCGGATAGCTTCCTGCGTAAGGCGCAACACGCACGTTGTGGGATGTACGTGAGCTGCGTGTTCCGCCGCAGAGATCCTCGTTTAGTGCCGGTATGTGCCCAGAGAGTTGACCGGCACTCTACCGGACCGGCACTATTCAAAGCACGAACCTTGACTTGGACATGCGGTGTGCCGGCCAAAACCACTGGCACTATGTATTCAACCGGCACTAAACATGGACCTCTGCTGATAAAATACTCAACGACTCAACAAAAAGAAGCAGCGAGAACAGCAACAAACGAAGGGGAAACGGCAGAGATCACGGACGGGAGCAAAAGCCGACAAAGTGTCTCGCAAATGTGGAAAAAAACCACACAGGTAACACGGACGAATCGAGCATGGGACAATATTGTTATCCATCACGCACCAAACGTTTTCTACTGCAATACCAAAAACAAAGGAGACCGATTTTCCTTTCGAGCAGGAGTCACGACATTGCCGTATCTGTGTACATACAATGTGTGTACTCGTTTGACAAGCAGTGGCAAGGAAAACCAACACCGCAGGCCAACGGAACGCTGACACGACGAAAACCTCAGGGATTTCTTGATACGCCGAACGCATGAACAGTAGTAAGCCAACCATCTACATAGTACCGGTCGCCCCGGCGGTCTAGTGGGTAACCTCGCAGCCTGCTAAGGGCCAGGTCATGGGTTCGAGTCCCGAGAGTGAGTTTTTTTCTCACTAAATAAATCCTGGTCTAGGATGAAAGCGACGCTCTGCAAAGCTCATTGATAGTAAACCATAATCGACTTCGTAAGTCGCGAGGGAAGGGATTGCTGTATACCCTATTCGCGATAAAAATACCTCAGGCAGGAACCGCAGGAGGGGGTCCAGCCCCCCCCCTCTATGTGACCCCGGTTGGGTCGTCTAGCTAGTAGAAGTGGAGGATAGGGGCCAGAGGGGCAGACGACCGAGTCCAATGATGGGAGAAAATATATATATATATATATCTCTGACGCGACGACCGGCCCTATGTCGAGATAAACAACATGGCAGTGGTTGTTGTTGCTGCTGTCTTCACTTAAAAAACGTTCCGGTCTCCGCTCAGAACCTTCTAATACCCGTACTGGCCCAACTGACGCGCACGCAGAGACCAACTACCCCCCAAAAGGGGTACACCTTTCTCGTCACGTGTGCCACAAAACTCACAAGGCCAAGCCGTTGTAGTAGTGAGCAACCTCGTCGGGGCGGCTCATGACCCAGCTCTTGGTGCGCGTCAGGGCCCGCTCTTTGGCCAGCCGAAACTGCTTCGCGAACTCTTCCGGGCCCCCCGCCGCCGCAACAGGGTCGAGAAACGCCTCTACCACCTGTTGCCGTCACCGTTGAGCCAGGTCATGTGTATGGATGGTGTCGTCAGTATGTCTCAACAGGAAAGAGACGTAGGATAGCCATCATCAACTCTCTCTTCTTCTTTTCCACCATCGAGCGGGCAACAATCAATACATGGGGGCGAACCGAAACAAGCACAGGGCGAACGAGCTTCTTCATACTGGGGTACAATCGCCGGCCACTGGAACACTCGTGTGACCTCTACATGTACCATACGATATCCTGCAAAATAACACATTGACGCTATACATGGATCAGCGGTCAGTTCCTTCTCCTGCATATCACTTCCTCGTAGCCCATTTATTGAACGCTGGTGGGCATGCAGGCGGGAGGAAGCAGAGGGCCGGTTGGAAGCGAACGCCCTTCTTTCCCCCATGCTCCCTCCATGCTACTCGCCGATTATCTCACGTCGCCTCGCGCTTGGTGATGTGAAAGCCTGGCCCGGTGATATCTCACCCGGCGTGCCCCGTCCCGGACGCGAGGCCAATGGTCTAACGACTGATTACGGCATGCACGGCTTAATGAGCACACGCCCCTGCTCTCTTGCTCCGTACCTGTTGCAGCAGCAGGTCGATCTTCTGGCTGAAGCCCGACACCTGTAGCACGTACCCGCACGTGTGACGCGACACGCCCCAGTGCAGACCCGCCAGCTGCGCGTCGTAGGTTCTCTGCGCGAGGACCTTGAGAGTGGTGGATATCAACGCGCAGATGGGTGAAATAAGGCGATGAGGATGGAGGATTGGCAAGGGTTAAGTGGGTCAATCAAGAGGATGGTGGCCCGGACTACAGAAACGGTAACAAATACGATGCTTGCGCTGCTCAACACACGACACACGACACACGACAACACCCAGAGCGACACGACTCTCTCGTCGGGGGGACGTGGTATCATACAAACGATCGTTATCGCGGCGAAATCTAGCACATCGTGCATAGGTACACATGGCATCTCGCCAGAAACACCTAGATCGCCGCCAGCCACATAAACTTTCCGACTGACTTGGCCGTACCGCAAAATGGATAGCCAGTAAACAACCGCGAAACCGCTCAACTACCCATGGTTCTCCTTCGCAAGGCCACACGGGAGGAAACCCATGCACAACGAACTACTTGCACGACATGGCATTTAGTTTCCATAGTGCTCGCTCTCCCTGAATCTCTCCATTGAGATGAGCAACCGACGAACATGCCCCCTCCCCCCCACCCACCCCCATCCAACCTGCTGCTTGGCACTGACCAATCAGAGCGATACCTACCTTGTGGAGAATGTCTGCCATGATCTGAGCGTGTTGACGCCCCTTGGCTCCTGCGTCCGAGATGACAGGAGTCGCAAGGACCACCCGCACCTGTCACCAAGAGGAAGGCGATGATGATGATGGCGACGATGCTCTCTGCGCTTGATGATTGTGGTTGCTTTTGTCTTCACATCATATATATTAGTGAATAGTTCCGGTCTACGCCCAGTTCCTTCTCATATTCACACTGGTCCAAGTGACGCGGACGCCTTCCGTGGTCACGAGCCAACCGAATACCCAATGAGGGGTCACCTTTCTAGAACGAAAAATAAATAAATACATGTATAAAAAAAATGGAAAAAAATCCTCCGTATGTGGGAACAACATACATGTATTACAACAAAAAAAAAACTGGGACTACTGTAGTTGATCTCGAACGGGTAGCTTTCTTTGATTGCTGACAAACCGGGTGAGGTTGTGCAGAGTTTTCCAAGAACCGCCTCGTTTCCATCCAACGCGTATGTAAATCCCTGCTCTCCAAAACGTCTTGCAGACCACCTCTTGTAACGGCAATGCTTCAACATCAGGCGTGGCAATTCTCTGACTTACCTCCAACCAGAGTCGAGAGAGAGAGAGAGAGAGAGAGAGGAACCGTTACGTTGAGGAGTATCGAGGGGGACACCCCTAGGGACTCCCAAAATTATCTCCACACGTGCCTTGCACCAGCGCGTCCTACCGCTGTACTACTGCTTTACCTGGATGGTCTAACAGAGCTGTACTACAAGACATGGCCATTTCCTTTTGAACTTGCCGACTTGGCTCACCTGTGCGCGCGGCTGTCGGAAAGTGGTGTCGAGTCTGTGCCACAACTGGCCCGCCTTCCCGACGCCATCCTCGTTGCTAGTCTCCAACAAATCAGGAGCTTTAATGACTCCTTCTGTGGGTCGGAGAGAAGGTGCGAGCAAAGGGTAAGGGATTGAGACGGGGCGGAGGGGTTACGGCAAGACAACAGTCTCTACCAAGAGGCAGGCTCTGGTGGCCACTGGCTGACTTGACTACATTAGGGAGGTTTCTCTCTTGAGCCCAGCCGAGGTACAGCGGCAACCTAAAAGCCTCTCTACCTGCGCTAGCACACACTCCCGGCAGCAGAGAGACCACGACTGGTCTTGAAAAATACCCACCCCTGCCCTACCTTTAGCCTCCCCCTGTACTACCCTCCCCCCCGCCGGTGTCGCCCCGTTGTTGCTGTCGCTACAACCGTTTTGGCCTTCCCTGTCGCAGACGAGGGAGAAGTCGTCCGGGATGAAGACGTTGGGCCCCGGGAGCTTGAGACGGCTCTCGAGGCGATCCGAGGGGTTGCTCCAAGCCTGCAGCAGCTTGGCAGGGGTCGGAGACACCCGGTAAGGCACTCCGTACCTTGGGGACAAAATGACGAGAGGAGGCAGGGCGGCGTTCGAAGGTGTCGAGTCAGGTGCCACGGAGGTACACGAAAGAGCGGGGCGTAGTGGGTTCAAATCGGAACTACAGAGGCACGGCTGGAGATGCTGTGGACAGGGTTCGAGACCCTTCAAGGTGTAGATATTGATGCACGAGGGGCAGACGCGCAACACACTCAAGTCGGCAGAAAGAGACCAGAGAGGAGCAGCGGGGATCTACCAGACCGCGACCTTGGGCTGTAAGTTTGACTGCCACAATATCTTCCCACTATAAATACATTAACTTTCCACCAAACAAAACAAAACGCATTTCAATGCCAACACAAGACACACCAGCGCTCCTCCAGAAGCGGCTGCTCCCCCTCGCCCCTCACTGTCGTTTCCACCGCCCCTCCCTCCTGCCCTGAGCCGCTCTCTGACGCGTCGACTCCCCCCTTAATCCTGCCGCTCCCCCTGCCCTTCCACACCCTCCACGTCAAAGTGTTTTCGGGTCGTAAATAGTCCGTAAACGCGGAGAACAAGGCAGGGTCGATCTGAACATCAGACCAACAACAAAAAGGGGTTCGAGCGCAATCAGACAACGGGGGGAAAAAGGGTGGTGAGAGGGGGTGTCGTGCGCTGCAGCGGCGGCGGCGGTGGAGGGGGGGGGGGCAGGTAAATCTAGTATAGAATCGCCTTGCAGGAGCATAGAATTGCTCTTTTGATTTGATCCCACGCTTCATCGATTGCGACCCATGAGGTTAAGACAAACAAACGCCTAACATCACCTACCACAACGCCAAAAACACCATCACCAGCACCACTACCGACAACAACAATTCAACCACAGAACAAACCTCGAGATCCAATACCGCGCCTGCGCTCAACACCTCGTTCGACGGATAAAGCTGGAGTCGCCGCGAGAGGCTTGTTGCTGCATTGTATGGCGAAATCTCCTGCAGCACAGCCCGTACGGGAAACGAAAAAGACCCGAGGGGGTGGGGGTGGGAGAAGGCGAGACAGCTTGACGAAAACAGGGTTAGAATGAGCGAAAGCGTGAGCGTTGGCGGAGCAATGGTGACAGCCTAGAGAAGGCAGAAGCATCAAGACATAAAAGGGGGGGAGCGTTGGAAGAGCAATGCCTAGTGACAGCTCTAGCAAGCACAACTACCAAGGCAACAAAAGAAGGGGACGAGGTTACACAACACAGATGTTAGTCCAACGTTGCCGAATACCATACTCTCTTGATCGACCGAAGTTTCGGCAGAATAGCGACAACGCGACTCTCGACAAAATGAATTCATGAGGTGCCCAACGTGCCTCGAGCACACGACTCTTGCCCAAGGCGGACGTTTCGTCCGAAGGAAAATTTTTCACTGGGTACATATTCTACCATTCTGCACAGTTTGCAGCAACGAATCTGCGACATCCCACCTTCACCAATTGAACTGACGACGCAAAACAAAGCTGATTCGCAGAGGTCACGACTGCCAGGCGTGTCTGTCGCGGGAACAACACCTCACAGCGGTGGAAACTACATTACCGCCCGTGCTTACTTGCTGAAAGCGGAGGTAGATGGCCCTCATGTCCCGTGACTCCTGCCACGCGCGGCTGGCGTCCTCCGGGGGGAGCTTCCTCACCAAGCCCGCGTGCGCGTGTACCAAAGCGGCCACCTCTTTCCACCGCGCTTGTCCTTCTCTCGTGAGGTGAACGATAACCTGGATCGGTCCGTGATATACACGCATCTTATCGTCGTTGGTACCTGTGTTTTCGTTGTCACAGCAGTAGTGGACGCCTGGAACTACACCAAGCCAGCCGCGTGGAAGAGACGTTCGGCCATCTCATTCGCCGCCTGTCTAACGTCTAACACTCTCGGTGTCGATCGATCCACTTGAGCGGTTTTGGCCATCGAACCCCAACTCTTTCGATGACCTGATAACCTTAGCCGGTAAATCCGCGACAATTCGCACGAGAGATATTCCTGGCGCTCAAGTCGACTGAATCTGACGGGACAGCAGGCCAAGTACGACCAGGGCGAGACCACACACGACTCCGTCAATCAAAGTCCTATTTTAATTCCAGTTCCTCCTCTTATCTCTGTCTCCCCGCTGTCTGACTACCAACATTGAGGGAGGAAACTGCAACACTTGTGAGTCCCCTGGTTTGTCATTTCCTTCTCTCTATTTCTCCATCACTGTGAAGGATTCCCCCCCCCCCCCCCCCCCCCCCCCCCCC